TTTCTCTTCTCACGCTGAAACTTCAGTATGGAAAAACTTCTCCAAAACCATTATCTTCTGCCCAGATCACTACTTAGGCTATTCCGTGTAATCCTCTGTTCTCTATTATGGAAATAAGGAACTGTAAGAGACCTAATTTGCCTATTAAATGGAAATATTTAATGTCAAAATAAAGCCTGTCATAGTTTTGTGGGTGAATTTTGCATTTTTTAGCTACCATTTCTAAAGTTAATTAATTAGTTGTATTCAATAATTGCTACGCAATGTAACTTTTCTTTACCAGTTTAGGCTATTACTGGTCTCAGGACTGTTTTGAAGATATGGAAGTTTCTAATACATAAAAATTCAAAGAACATGTGAAAAATAAGTTTAATTCCAATGTATTTTTTTTAAAAATAACACACTAAAAATGAGAGACAATGGCTCTTCTAATAATGATGGACTTGGCCATTTCTAAACTCTTGTTACAAATACAGAAGATAAAGGTAAGGAAATGTCTCATTGAAGCACTGCCATTTATCAGAGAAACACAGGCTTTAATGAAAGAAAAATGAGACCAAAATGTAGTAATTGTTACACAAAAGGAGATTCCCAAATGAAAAAAGTCTGGACTGTGAATTGGGCTATAGGAATATACCACAAACAGAAGTAAGCAAAATAATAATAATAATAATAATAAAAAAACTTGCTAATGGAAGTACTAATTACTAAAATATTTTGATACTTTCAGAAGTAACTTTGTTGTTGTTGAGTTGTGGTTCCACTGGGTTCTCGATATACAAAGCAGCAGCATTCCAGGAATTTCTCTGAAACCATCAGCACCCAAACCTGTTTGAATTCGGCAGTAATTGGATAATTTAGGCCTTTCTCAGAATTTTGGCCTTAAATCAACACCACAAGGATTCACAAGGATAGTTGTTCTGATGAAGTAAAGAAAATACTATAACAGAGTACTTGGTAGTACTTGGTAGTACTGTTATAAATAGGAGTAGATGCAACCTTGGGAGGTAGGTTAATCGATCTATCAGAGCAGAGTGGGAATGCTGTGCCAGGTCTGCATTCTGTTGCTGTTAATTGATTTCAATGTGATGTTTGGCCTTTTCATAGCAGCAGTGATATTGCTAACTCATGCTCACCTTTTAATAGCATATATCTCTAAGCTCCTACTTCAAAGTAACATTATCTAAACATTGCATATTTTTGCACTCTTTTTGCCCAAGTGTGATGTTTTCACTTTCACTACTGTATTTCACCTTTTTTTCAGGTTTTCCTGGTAATTTGTCAACACCTTCTGAGTTCTGATCTTGTTCTCCAGGCAGTTCCTTCTAGGACTGTCTTTTCCTCAGGTACAGTAGTTTGCTGTATAACTCTCTATTCAACCATCCAGGCTGCACAAAGCATTGATGAGAATGTGAGATAGGCCACCTTTACATTTGTTATGTCCCTTCATTTTGCCAGTGAAAAATATGTCTTTTTAAGGTATATTACACAAACAGTTTGCACCCATTTATGGCAGTTTCACCTGGACCATATTTGCCCTGCTTCCATGTAAAATAGTGCTGGTCAGTGGGATTTCTTCATTACACCAAGTTTTAGGAAATCTATATATTTTCCTAAGAGCAAGGCCTTTTATAAAGGAAAATTAGTGAGTTTGACATAAGTCTTTGTAAAAACGTCAAGTTGTCTGCAGTTTGTGTTTGTTTTTTTAAAATTCAGTTCTGTATCCTAAAGATTGTTCTTTTGCTTTATATCATAATTATTCTGAACAGTAAAGTTAATAACAGTTCTAGACTTTATCAGCCCTTATCATTATTGTATTTTGAACATAGGCATTATGTTTACTTTTTGTTTTCCAGTCACTTAGAAATGTCTCTTTGTCATTCATAAATTTCTAAATATACTTGATAAGTTTTGCAGTTGTGTTGATCAGGTTTTTATGTATTTGATGGTGAAGTTCATCTAAAATTGAAAACTTACTCCTCTGTTCCTGATATTAATTTTCTAGGCCTTTGCTATCAGTTGGTTGTCTTACTAAAGACATTTAATTAAAGAAGACTTAAAACATGTTGACCTTCTTTGTTCAATAGCAGACCAGTATTTTGCTTGCTCATCACCTTATTATTGCTTATTAAATTATTTCTTGTTACCTTTGGTTTCTCTTTTATTATTATTTTTATTTATTTTTTGCCCTGCCTGTCTGTGTTCTTTTATTCTGATAATTACAAGTTAACCCAGTTTCTAATTTCTCCCTTTCTTTCATCATATGTTCCCTTCAAATTTTTGATTTTTTTGAGGAATTTGTTATTTAGGCTGGTATGTTTCTTTCTACCCTTACTATATTTCCTCTACTTTGGGATAATGTATATGTGTGCTATTTTTGTTTAATGTCATTTATCTGAGGAAGTACCTCTTCTGCTTTCTTTTTTTTTTGTTTTCCTTTCCCCTCTTCCCTCCCCCCCCCAGGGTCTTTTTATATTATTTATTTATTTGTTTATTTATTCCTTAGGTTGATCTTTTTTTCTTAGTTTTCCTTATGTCACTATGACTGTATCAACCAAATCTCTGCCTCTGCTGAAGTGTACCTGTTGTTAATTTCCATCTTCAGTTTCTAAGGATTGTGAACTCTTCAGTTTCACCTTTTTCATCCAACTTGACAAGGACAGAAATCTTGCTATTCTTACTAGTTACCCTTTACTGCTCCTAATTACATTTGGGAGAATCTCCCATTACCTGTCTTCTCCATTTTCTGTATTAAAAACAAACAAACAAACAAAAACTTGACACACATTCCAATAGGTTGCTAGGAAATCTGTGTTTTGCTGTATGTCTCCCCCAATGCCATTTATAAATATGGCACTACCCTAAACTAACATCTAAAATGCATAGTTCTTTTCATAGTTCTTGTAAATATGAATAACAGCTTACCTGTGTTAAAGCTGTGGTTATAATTCTGAGAAGCTAGTTGCATATTGGATTCCTCCATAAATGTTGTTTTTGCAAAAATGTTTGCAAACTTTTCTGTCCATTGATTTGAGTTTGCTTCACTCCAGCATGCAATTTGACTTACTCCTCTGCAAAAGACTTGCAATAATATTTTTGTAAAAGATAGTATTGTTACATGCGTGTGGAAAAAGCATCTCCCAGCAAACTCCTTTTACTTCTTAGTTAAAAAGCTTTAGCCACGAGAACTGAAATGCTAGTTTATTTCTCACTGCATCATTTATTCATGTGTGTGAAACACAATCTGTAGACAGATCTAATGGCTTGTGGAAAATTAGCATTGAATTACTGGGCAGTGGTGCTACATTAGTGTAGTGTTCCTTTCAGAACATGTTTTACTTTAGGTAAACTTGCATATCCTGAGCTATTTTGTTCATGGAGCTGAACGTTACAGAACAAGCCTTATGAGAAAACAACAAAGAGAAAGTACCATTTAGGCAAATGGTTAATTTTATCTTTGTTTTGCCAAGTCACAATTCATTGTTTTTCTTGATGGTGCAAAACTAATTGGCTCTTATCAGAGTTACATTACCTCCAAAGGCAGATAAAATTAATGCAAAGTAAACATCACCATGATCAGAGAGTGTCTGATGAAAGGGGAAACAGACTTGCGTGAAGTTGATGCAGAAACCCACAACAACCTCTCTCAGAATTATAAATCAGGAAGTTCTCCAGGTTATCAGCTACTTCTCTACTTCATTATTTTGTATTCTCTGTTTTAACCTCAGGTCACCTTTAATACATCTGCTCTGTAGTGATTAATATTACTGTTGAAAATAAACTACGGAAGAGCAGTGCTGTACTGCATGACTAATTAGTCTATCATGCTACTTGTTTACAGCTTTTAAAAATGTTTCTCTTCACAGAAATAAATCAAAGCATGGTAAGCCTCACTTTGTATGTGAACCACCATCGTGTCTGACTGTGCAACTTTCAAGACATGTGCCCTTGTCTTTCAAGAAATTATAATTTGAACTGCAAAATCTTCAGCCCTTTATTTTCTTCCATTCAATCTCTTTAACACTTGCCATGTTTGCAGAAAGCTTCTGTTTGGGTCTGGGAATTATATGACTTTTTTCCTGGAAAGGTTCGCACTTGAACAAAGCTATGTACCAAATTTCTTCTAAGAAATCTAAAATAACTTTGACAACAGGCAACCAATATTGAGTCTGAAGGGATCAAGGAGTACAGGTCATGTCCACTGAGAGGTCAGGACTGTCATTTGCCTTTATAATTTTAAAAATGAAAATGCCAGTAACTTTAATCCCAAACTTCAAAAGAGTACAGAAACACTCTTGGAAAAACAGAAATTTCAAACTTAAGGAAACTTGTATTTTTTAATCAAAATTTGCATTTTTCTGTGAAGCAGGTAAAATTCTACAAAATATGAAGGAGGGTTTATATCTACATGGGATTTGTATTTAGAGACTCAACAGCTGCTCTGTTCAAGACACTTGATTTTAGGGAATGTGATCTCTAACAGGTTCAGGGTCTCTTATGGGGAAAAATGTCTAAGAATTATTAAAACTTGCAAAGAAGTAGGAAGAGTTCAGATATCATTGTGCTCCACAAGCTTATACACTGACACTTAACTCTGCAAAGATGTAGAAGACTCATGGAGAGGAAATAATGCATTATTAATGCACTGGTGACTGGACAAGAAGTTTGGGGCTTAAAATGTAGGAGAGGAACCTCTCATGAACGTGTATGTACCTGAAAGACAGGGGAAAGAGGAGCATCTCTTCACAATTATGTCTGGACAAAGGCTCTTTTTCTGATACCCTTGGTCACAGAGGATCCAAACAAGACCTGTTTGTTCTCTAGCAAAGAATACACCGGAGATGACAGACTTAATTATATGTATCTGTAATTAATATTTCCTATAGTATTTAATATGTGGAATGTTAAGTACATCAAAGAACATTAAGATTTGTTCTGAGAACTTGACTGAATTCAAAACATTATGAAAAGTGGGAATTGGGAGTCTCCATTCTGTATGTCAGCATGTAGAGCAGACAGAAAGAATCTAGAGAATAAAGAAGTTACTTGAGGAAAGTGATGAAATACATACATCCAGCTTTCCAAAAGAATATTCTGTTAGGATTGTAGGTGATGCAGAGAAATATGCAGAAATCAAAAAGACAAATATAGGAGAGTATTTCATCTCAAGTTTATGGTCAGTTCTATTTTTTTGTTTATTTTACATGCAATTTTTTTTTTTTTTAATTTTCAGTCCTTCAAACCACAGTCTGAGTCTCAATTTCTTTAAAAATGGTACATGATTATTTAAATGGTTTTACCATCAGCTTTGTCTCTTTTTGTGTAACATGGTGGGTGGCTTGCGTTGCAAGCAGTACACTGTTTGTGTTATGTCTTTGCAAAGATAGAACATTAGTATATAAATGGGGTGCTGGCATTCTGGACGGATTAAGCTGTAGAAGTTTTGCTTTGTAAGATGAGGATCTGCCCAGCATTCACTGATAATTCCCAGAAACTCATGGAGGCTACATTATCAGATAGGGGCTTTGAGATATTTCTGCTCAGTGTAGGGCAGTGGCCGCCTTGTAGGCTGCAGCACGTCTCCTAACTGCATAGGCCTTTCTGCAAGGCATCAGAGGAAATCTTCAATTAGGCCAGTCCACTCTAGGTGTAGGGATCAAACAGACGTCATCAAGTAATCAAACAGATGTCATAAGAGGTTGTGTAACTATCGTGATTAGATGTTTCTGAGAGCAAAGCAAGGCAAAACCTCTCTCAACAATGCTAAGGCACAGTGGATCTAAAATAGGAGCATGGGCTAGATAACATCTTGAGGTTCTTGAAGCCCTCTTTTTGAGATCGTATCTTTTACTTCCTAAAATCCAGCACCCACAGCATTTTACTGAAAAGAAATTGCATTCCACTTAATATTGTTGACATGTGTATGAAAATACTCACTTCCAAGTTTATCAAGTTTCACATAAAAAAAGAACATGATAAAGACAAACTGTACTCCTGTATCCATGACACTATTTTTCAATGAAATGCAATTTCACCTTACAGAGATCATTTGCAGAGCAGGATTCAAAACAAATCTGTTGCCAGTGTTCTTGTGTAGTCATCTTTCTAGTCACAAAGTGCAATCCCCACTGTATTTAAGAGCAATGAACAACTGCAGCTGCATTCCCTGCAACAGAACAGGCAAACAGAATGTGAAACTTTTTTCAAATAGCAGCTAAGTCATCCTGTAATAAGGGGATGAAAGGGGGGCAAATGTACTCGAGAAACAGAGGGATTTCAGATAACCTTTTTTTTCTAGTTTAAATGCAATTTCTTCTTTGTTAATCCATTATTGGCCCATTCTAGTGTGTATATGTCTGAATCTGACGATCTTACTGATTGTATGTTATGTATTTCCCAATTCTTTTCCCTTTCTGCAGCACCTTCGTGAGCAAGCCTCTGTCTTTCTATTTCCATCAAGACCAGTTTTTATCTCACATGGAGAAGCCTTGGTTGCAGGGACACTTAGCTGATGCCTCTGGCAAAGACCCAAAACTCCTTCCCATCGCTTCCTAGCAGATAGCGAATGTCAGGCCCTCTGCTGCTTGGATGGTCAGTAGCCTGCTGGCACCATTTTGCCTCATGTTAGCATCTATGTATCATAGCAACATACAAGAATGCTAAGCACGTATACTATTACAGTGGTGGTTTGTTACAAAGAACAATCAGAGAATTCCTCAATCGACTCTTGCATTTGAATGATTTTTATGTGCAAATGCTGATTCACAAAGCAGGTTTTCCACATCAGGTACAGAAATGTCTGCTAGTATTAATCCCATTTCTAGATGAGCAAAATGACCTCTTTCTGCCTTAAAATATATGACTATATCACCTGCTCTTCAGTCATGCAAGGAGAAACAAGTTCTGCAAGGTGATTGTGATGAGGGCAGGTCAGCTGGTTATTTTTAGCTCAAGCTAGCACATTTAGCAAACTCTCACAAGAGGAAACATTTTTTACCTGCAGCTGATTAGCATTCAGAGCTGCACAACTTCATCCATTTAAGCGTCAAAACAGCTATTTTAGTCTTATTCTTACAACCAAATGCTTGCTGTTCAGTATTAGGAAAAAGGTGCACTCAGATGAAATGGCATAATATGCTTCCGATCCAGAAAGCTAAATGCAAATAGTGATTACCAGTCTCTCACAGTGGAATAATAAGCACACAAACATTAGCATTGGAACAGAGTTTACCCTCTGTCACTGTGAAGGCTTCAGCCATTAAAACTCTACCAGAGTACAGAATGGAATTTTCCATGTATTTTTTTTTAAGTTTTCTTTTAATGGAAGCTCCCATTACAAGTTCAAAAGCCTTTATTTAGCTGTCATTAGGATATTGTTTTAGGACAAGCAGGATTTCTTTTAACTGTGTTCCTTGACCTGGCTGCACAGGTTCACACATCAAAGACTTTCTCTTCCTCCCTACTCAGCTAACCAGACACACGTACCCCAGGGAGAATGGCAGATTATCTAGAAAGGCTGGAAATATGACCTATGGTGTTATATTAATTGCATACCTTGACAGAGTCGTGTGGGAAATGCTCTCAGAAGGGACCTCACAAAAATTGCTTCTGCTAGCTGTTGTCTCCTGGATTTGTTCCCATTACAGAGTGAGATTCTACCTGAAAAAATAGATAATGCAAGGAATCATAAAAAAAAAAAAAAAAAAAAAAAAAAAGATGGGGAAAGAAACAATGTTTTGTTTAATAACTGCACAGCTGTTACACTTGTTTAAAAATGTAAACTCAAATAATATTTTTAAATTGCTTGTTGTTTACCAGTAAAGGGCAGAAATATTCTTTCTCTTCCAGAGAAAGGCAACCTGTTTAGAATACAAAAAATATCTTTCAATTTTTTAATCAATTCTCCTTATGGGTACTTGTTGGCAATAAGTATGATGATCAAATCTGAATGGTTGAATTCTAAGATCAAAAGGGTACTGTCATTCACTTTCCAGTTGCAGTAGGTGCTGAGCATTTATTTATCAGAGACTCCTCGTATCCTTGCATGCCATTTTTTGTTCCCATCCATTGTAAAGGTCTCCTGAAATCTGCTTCCTTCTGTCCACTGCCCTGTCAAGAACTCCCCACCCTTTTTCCCAGAATCCCAGCCTGATATCCCTTTTGTTTCCCTGCCAAGGTTCCTCCATGTGTTCTGGGTTTTTCTTCCTTATTCTTGCTGCCCCAGAAAGTCCTTTCAGTCCCTCTTCTTGTGCTACTCTCTATTTTCCAGATTTCCTCTACCAATAATGTGGTTCTAGGTCATTCAGGATGCTAATGCTTAAAAACTGCATAGTGCAAATCAATAGCCAGATGAGGAACCCCTTGTTTCTCAGAAGGTGTTACTAATTGGCAAATAATTGAGGCATTCGTCTATCTTCAGTTACAGACACCTGAAGCTGCTGGATATCTGACCACAGTGTCAGCACTTGCTTCTGTCCTATATTGCTAATGTTTTCTCTTCCACTTTCCACTGAGCTACCTAAGCTAATCCTTAGCTACCTAAGGATTGAAGTCAAAAGTTCCACTGTGTTATCTGCAATAGCACATAGGTAGGAGATGGGCTGTGCTAAGCACACAACACCACTGAAACAAGAACGCGGGAAAGTTCTTCATAAATGCAGAATATATAATCTGAGACAGATGCAAAGCCAACAGCAAAACAGCATGTCTTTTTCTTTTGACTTCCCAGTGCACTTCTAAGTCAAGCTCCGGTCAGGAGGAAAGATTTAGTATATTTGTTGACCCTTGCAGCCAGCAGAAGAAGAGCTTGCCCCGCACGTCCTTAAAACCCCATCGCAGTATGGTACGATCAGGCCACATAGCATGCATTTCTTAGTGCCAGCACACTTGGTAAGGGCAGGCCAGGCAAGCAAGGCTAGATGTAGGGTTTGGGGACACCTCTTTGCATGTAGTCCTGCTTCTGTGTCACTACAACATAAATCGCATATGAAAAACTACCAGCTCTGGTACCAGTGCTCACAAAAGCACAGCTCACTGTTTATTTTTTGTGAGCGTTCCTGTGAATCAAATTGGACTGCTGGATAGTTTTAGGAAAATAAACACAAGAGAACCGTGAGTGCTGCCAGAGTGAGTGAAAACAATGCTGCTGGGGAGTGTTTGCTGTGGTAGTGGTGACTTTGAGTGCTCAGTACTTCAGGAAAGCAATTAAGACACAAACTGTGGCCTGGTAAGAGTTTAGGCTGTGTTTTAGTTGCAGCCCCTCCTGTACAGTCTGTTAATGCCCCCAAAGCATCACATTTCCTTCATCCAAAGCTTGCTTTCTGCTCTTAGACCAACAGCTCCTGTCTCCATCCTGCAGTGATGTTTGTGTGTGCCTCAGAAAGACTATATGCAGTGGACAAAAATTACATAGCATTTCTTCAGGGTAACAAAACGGAAAATACTAGGATCCTTTTGGATCCTCTTTCCTCTTTTTCACCTTGGTTCAGCTGAGTGCCCATCAACATCAGCTTGATGTTCTGAAATTTTCAGTGGTGTCAGTATCTTTATAGATGTGCTTATAATATTTCTATTCAATTGCTGTTGGTTTCCTCAAGCTAATCATCATTCTCTTAGTCTGAAAAGTTCCAACTTCTGTCACTGGAAAAATACTGAAAAGAAAAAAGGAATAACAACAACAAAAATCCTTAAATCTGACTTGCAACCCCTAATGAGAAAAGAGAAAAAAAATCTGTCATCTCATTCAGAAAGAAAAAATGCTTTTTTTTTTTTTTTTTAAAGTGAAATAAATGCTTTCCCTAAACATGATCGCAGTTGACAAAATGCTGGATGTTTAGGTGGCAATTATAGCTCTTTCAGAGACTGTCAAATCTTGTCACAACACATGTTATAAATGAGGACAGATTTAGACATCCTTTATGACAGTTATGTGTAGGATGTGGATGGTTGGCAGTTAAATTTCAAATGCAAGGAAATTTTCCTTCCAATAGATCTTTGCTTGTTTATTAAGAGGGAGTTACCGTGCACTGAATCTTGTATCTACCATGTGCAGCTTTTCATCCTTACAGCTTTTGACATTTCACTTTAACTTTCCTTTTTGACAGCCATCTGAACATTGTTTTAGGTAAAATGTAACCTTCAGTGCTCTGGAGATGTATGAAATTTTTAAAGCTCACGGTGTTTTCATACTGAGATTACTGTTGGAAATGTGTCATATTATACATGGATGGATAGATAGTAAGAAAGCAAATAACATAGATGGTAACAATAATGATTGAAGGGAGCCGCTTCATGATGCATGCAGAAAATGGGATAATGCAGAAGTCCACATTTATCATGAGATGTATAAAATGTTGATGATGTATTTGTAATAATAATGTGCATCACAAAGCACAATTCATATGATGATAGACTACACGGGTGTCATTAAAGCCAAGCCTGACATGGATTTTGAAGTGGTTCTGATGTTAACAGCTCCAATGGCATGGGGAGAAGAAAGAGAAGAGAAATCCCAGAGCCATGGAAGAGTCCTGGCAGGGTCAGATAGAACTTTTTTAGAAGCTCCTATGGAGAGCGTGCTGGAGCAGCCTAAATGTCACATTTTCTAAGTGCAGCATAAGCCTTTTTGACGGCACCAGCCTCACTCTGCTAACCAGCATTGACATTGACAAGCTTTGCATGCACCCTTTCTGCAAAGCCCAATAAAGAGATGGGAAAGGGCTAGGCAGCATTGCCCAGCTAGGTGACATACGGCGTATGCTACGCTATGTGCAGCTAGTAGAGAGGGGAACTATACCTCCTTTAGCCCCCGCTCCAAATTCTAATAATCCTTTGAAGCTTCTGGCAGCATCTCCTCCTCCTGCAAGAAACTGGTAAGAGGAAAAAATCTGTTTGCCCATTTTGTAGTCCTCCCACACTTGAATATGGTAGGCTGTAGACTAATTTTTATGAATGATGGCGTATAAAATCCCAGTGAGTTTGGTAAGTGTGATTCTAACGTTTCCGAGAGATAGTAAAGAAGAAATGTCATCTACGATACCAGGACCTTGTGACTCTTCCATTTAGCTATAGCAGTGTAGCATGGCAGAATTATTCACGTGCATACTGCAAGGCAGCTACTTGAGATTGCTGGACTGGGACCAAAGTGCTCGTTGCGTTGGAGGACTGAGCCCATAAACTGGAACACTGTGGGCAGCTATACCTTTTGCAGAGCTGAAGTTTTTCTACTTTCTATTTTCATATGAGTGGCAGTATTATGTAACTAAGAGATAGATGAACTTGTGCTCATTCCGAAAGATCATAAAATACTCAGAAATATTTGTGGAAGTCTGCCTCGAGTAACACAGCTTAAGCCCTTGAATTCTGAATGGGTAGCTCTCCTGTTTCTTTCCAGTTACAGACCATTCACTTAGGCCTAATGACATGCATCCAAATAAAAGCTTGCGATAGCACAAATGTGAAAATAAATGTACTGTTTCTATGCTTCAAGACATCAGCATTTATTGCCTCATTTGGGAAAACAACAGACTTATTTGGCTCATTTATACTCTACACGAATACTGTTTTGAGACAGGGACCTGTGTCTTGCATCTCAGAGATCTTCATGAACAGGGCCATATGCTTCCAGGCATCCTCCCTTCTATTCACTTGACTAAAAAATACAAAGGGTCAAAAGATTACAGGATGCCTCAGGTATACATAATTAATTTACTCATAAGCTGCTAAAAAGTAAGATAGCCACAGCTTTTTTTTTTTGATTTGTTCAATTCCTAACTGAGATGACTTCTTAGGTCACCTTTTGATTTCAGAGGTTAACTTACTGTATGTGAATAAATTCTACCTGACAGTCTCTCTCCTCACTCACTTGACCAGTGAAACCTTTCTGATAATATTACAAAAAGTTTGCCTATATGAGAAGTATTTTGGAGTATTTTTAACTTCAAGGAAATGTCATATTTGAATGTATGCATTCAGAATAAAAGAGAGTTTGTTACTTCAAAAGGTAATCTTTAAGTAATTGGTTTCACACCATCTAATTTTACAGTTTTATGCAATAATCCTGATTGTGATAGTGACTCTCAGAAAATTAGAAATACCAGCAATTTCAGCCCCTTTTAGTGTCAGGAAACTAACTTTTAGGATTATAATTATTTGAGGCTTTGTCAGACTTGTTCTGTTATTTGTATTCATGCATTTCTAATTACAGAAAAAAAAAATAAAGAAGAAAGATATCCTCCATAAAGATAAGCAACACATTCTTGGATAATATTTGTAATGGATCCATTAATTGAACCTGACAAAAACTAAAATGCAATAGCAAAATATTCATCTTTAGATGGATGCACTTTAAGCCTTCTTTCAATAAATATCTGTCCTTCGGGGCAGATAGATCTTTTAAGGCCCAGGGATATCAGTATTTCTATGCCCAACCTGTTCAAAATCTTGACTGCCAAATTGTCATATTAAAAAGACTTACAAGTCCTAGCTGATGGCACTGCCTTTGATGCTGGGGAAAGGAAAGGCTACAATGCCATTCTGTCACTATTTCTGCTCCTAGTGCCAGGGTGGTGGCAGAGGCCAGCTGGGTCAAAAAGGCATTCAATGAGAAGGGGAAGTTTAACCCCTCTAGTTCATTCCTTGATGTCAGTGCTAAAGCAGGTGAAGGCGCAGATGTCTGGAAGCCCTTTTGCATTGTCAGGACCCTGAGCTATACTGCCCCTGCCTCCCTCCCCCAGTTCCCTCACCCTGCCCAGGACCCCATTCCAGTCCTCTGGGTTGGATTTTGCCATCCATTAGGTGAAGGAATCTGAATGGAATCGGCAGCATGAGGGATCACATCTCCAGCATTCACATCTGCTCCTCAGCAAGTCCTACATGGTTTGCATTGTGAAACCAAGAGCAAAAAAGATCTTATCGAAACTTGCTGTGTTT